TGTAGCGTGATTTATTGTAATGCTTTTTTCCTCAGTTGGTCAGAACAAACGAGGCAGACTTGTTACTTACTTATTGTTCAGATGTCAATTTCTGGTGAAAATAATTATTTGGGTCATATCTATAGAATCTGTGAACAGGATCCACACCGGTGCGGTGACTGACAGCCACACATTCACCTCAAAACATTAGATTCATTAGATTCATAGCCAAGCTGCCGCACAACCCACGCAAGGAAGATAATTTCTTATTAGCAAGGAAGACAGCTGCAATTGCAGGTTTTCAAACAGAGATGGCGACACAGAGGCAAAACTTATGGACTGCAGCTTTAACATTCAATTTATTATTAGGCTACTTTATATTTGTGCCTGCCTGATGGATACAAGTTATTTCTGAGCTCGGCTTTCAATTGTGACCAGTGGATTTGAAAAATAAACGTGATAGTTTGATAAAAAATAAATCGATAGCTTTATGTGCTATAAAGATAGCTTTATTTTCTATGTGTGTTCCTCACTTAACATGAAAGGGAAAGTAGCCTACGCATTCGGGATAGTTTAAAAGAATAAATTGGAAAAAGCATGTTTATTTTAAATTACCTTCTAACATAAAAGGTCTTTAAAGTTGTGTTTTGGGCCATTATGCTTTGGCACAGTATCTGTCAAACTAAATAAAATCAAAAGCACACTATGGCTTAATTCCTTCATCAAGTCTGTTTTCGCTGTGCATTTTAAAGCGAAGCGCACACTTCATTTAATCAATCAGCTCGTGATCCTGTGTTTTCCATGCCTCAGATCGGCTCAGCTCGCAGTGAATGAAGTGCACTCGTTATTGCATGTGCTGTGAGTTTAGCGTGCGTTTGGGAACGCAACAGCCACCAGTTATGCTCTTTCGCGGCAGACGATTACAGCATTTCACTAGATTTGTATTGAGACGCGTTTTTGTTAGCCTGTTTTCACTGAAGCTGGGGTTTTCCTTCAAAATAAAAGCTCTACTGCCGTTTCCATCAAAATAAAAGCTTAAAAGTGCAGCATGAATTGCTGACAGCTAGAGGTTTAAATGGGTAACGTTACTATAGTCCAAATTCAAAATATCTCTTTCAAGTGTAGAAATTAGGAAAGAAGTATTGTAATTTCCCTACTGTAGTGTAAAGCAAAAATAATATACCTATGAAATATTCATTTTCATTTATTTTACAGTGCAATTGTTTTACAATATGCTACTACTGTCATTGTTGTTGTTATTATTTTTTCAATTCTTCATTTCTCTTTTTTCTTTTTAAATATCGCAATAAATATCGTATCGTGGACTTCATATCACAATATTATCATATCATGAGATTTTGATATTGTTACATCCCTATAATACACACTATATACACATAGTCACGCAATGCTGATGTTGTTAACATTAACAATTTGAGAACAAAGTTTAACAATAATAATTTGCACGGTTTGATGTGATATGAGCTAACTGATCGTTAGATTTAATCAGCATTGGTAGAGCGATTTACTGTAATGCTTTTTTTTTCTCAGTTGGTCAGAACAAAAGTGGCAGACTTGTTACTTGTTCAGATGACAATATCCAGTGAAAACTCTTATTTGGGTCATATATTCCAAGACGTAAGCTAGAATCTGTGATTCCTAAGTACAGGATCCACACCGGTGCGGTGACTGACAGCCACACATTCACCTCAAAACATTAGATTCATCCGCGCTGGAGCCGTGCCGGTGCACAACCCATGCAATGAAGATAATTCCGCAAGTTACTGCAATTACAGGTTTTCAAACAGAGATGGCGACTAAGAGGCAAAACTTACAGACTGCAGCTTTAAATATAAACAAATTGCTTAAAACGATTGGGAACCCTGAAGAACTTCTAAAATTTCTGGAATACTATATTTTATTATTTCAGCTTTAATTATCATTAGTTTCTTTTTTAACTGAATGCCCAAAAATAAAAAGACGTTTTAAAAACAAAACTAGGGCTAGGAGACCTTCAGATATTATTGTGGACGACCACTGCTGCAATGGATGCATGTGTTGCTGCCTTATAATTTCGCCAAATTTAAGTATCTTAGGAAGCAGAATAATTAAAATGCCTGCCTTTGTAATAGCCTCGGGAGAGTGTCTATGATGCTTTAAAATGCTGCATTTTGTTGGCATGAGTAGGAAAGGGGTAATAATAGTCGCATTACACTGAAATTGTGATGGATCTGATCCATGCGATTGAGTATACAGTATATCCATATTTCACCCATGAGTTGAGATAAGCATCAGTAAGAGCAAGTGACTGCAAGTCAGAGCTCCTAGAAGCAAGAAGGGGTGTGTGTGGAACAGCCCAGCAATTTAAATATAACACATGATACAATGAGTGAGCGAACTGACAGAAGAAAAATCAAAAAATGAATACATCATCAAAATGATGTAGTGACATTTAAGTGCACCAGTAATTATTTTATCTCCCAGGAAAATAACTATGGGCTGTCTTAACTGTCAGAACATATTCTTACAGATGATGGGTGATGTGTTTGCATGTGAATGAGTCTGCTTGTGTGTTTATGTAAATAAATATCCTCATAGCCCATGGTATTTTGTATTCTTAACTAATGATGCTGCCCCCTACAGGAGAAGGAGGGAAAAGCTCCAGGCACACTTGAACGAGAGCCGTAGCCAGAAAAACTACAACCTCAACTCTTCCAGCCTGGCCCCTAAACCCAGCCTTAGGCCTCAGCAAGGCCTGCAGCTCCAAAAAGTAAGCACCTCTGGCCCCTTTTATACCTCGCATCAATGTATGTTTTGTATCCAGATAGTATATTCTTGAAGTGGATTGCATTTATATCTTGCCTCACTACTCTACTAGTGTGATCAGACTTTTAAAATACCCTATGAATTTTTTGGGGGGGAAATGAAGTTCCCTTTCAGTCGGTCACTCTCGACGTCACGTCGGATGACCGACAAATTGGGATCTCGCTTAGAAAGACCAATCTACCTCGAGTGTAAACTAAACGAGCCAATGCACATTGGCATGCGATTATTGCATCCAGCTGCCGCTGATCACAGCGTGAGTATAAGTAGGCAGCAGATGCAGCGCATATTCAGCTTTTCACTTCAGAGCCGAGCGGTTCTATCGTTCTGCTCCTGACCTTCTGCGTAGAGAAAAACTACAGTCAACACGCCTGTACAGAAGCAGACTGAGGCGTCCGCCGGCCGCAGCGCCCCAGCGTGCTCATCGCCATGGGCGGCCCCCTGCGTCCGCCCCCCGCTCCCGCGCCGCATCCGCTCCGGCAAGCGGCGCCGTGGAGCTGGGCGTAGGCAGGCCGCCCCACCCGTC